GATATTATTAGAATATGCCTTGCACATGGTTCAATTTGTATTCTCTCTCTCTCTCTCTCTCTCTCTTAAAATGAGTTGTGATATGAAACCAACAAATTTTTATCATCCAACATGAATTTCGAGGTAATTTTTGAACAATAAATATTCAAACTTTGATTAACAGTCGTCCATACCTCCGATTTCAGTGAACTTATAGGCAAACTGACCGACTTGATGAGATGGACCCAATGATATTAAAGTTAATCCAAATCGAGTCAAATCAAGCTTAGATTAAGTCATTAAACTATTAATGAAAGATTTCTGAACACATTTGGAACATCAAAAAGATGTCAAATCAAACAAATGTCAAATATAACAAGGTTATAGTAGAATCGAGTGTCTCAACAAGACGAATCTAATGAACCTAAAATCACTCAATTCTGACATCATTAAGACACCCAAATGTCCATCAATCACTGTTTGATTGAGGGAAGCTCTCCGGACCATCCGATCAAAATGATTTATATTCCTGCATTAATTTCATTCAGAACACTATAAAAGAGCCCCTCCCCTCTCATGAGGGGGGGTTGAAGCCTAGAGAGAGAGCCTGAGGTATTGAGAAGGAGCTGTAGCTCAACATCATCACCTACTGCCGTCGACCTCCATCGACTACCGTAAACCGCCATCGACCACCGTCTACCTCCGTCGACCACTGCTAACTGTCGTCAATCACCATCAATCAGACACCAACAATCGACACTGTAATCTGAAAAACAATCAGACACCAACAATCGACACTGTAATCTGAAAAATATAGCTACTATTTCCCGTTTGTGGGACAAGGGATTTCTGTAATCATCAATCAATAGTGAATTTTCGCGACTAGGCTAGACCCCGTGGTTTTTCAAATGAAAGACAACAAATTATCATCTTAGCTTTGTACAAGAATTTAACACACACATAGATGAAAGAGATACAAGTAATGCTGAATTATGGAGTCTTCACTACTTGTAAAAATTTCACTATTGGCCTGGTCTAGTTGTGAATATTCACTACCAACAATCGACACTATTGGCCAGACCCCGTGGTTTTTCTGCCTGATCATGTAAAAATTTTTGTAGTCGTCACTATTTGTTTCTCTTTCAACTATGTGTGTGTTGAATTCTCATACAACGCTAAGATGATAATCCGTTACTCTATCGTCGCGGATTTTCTAGCTTGAATCAAGTTGTTTTACGATGCATACGAATATCTGCACTAATCATATTTTTAGAGAAAGAGTATACCGTTTGGGCCATGTAAAAGGCCAAGGGAGCAATAGATAGAATAAGACAATTCAAAGCTAATGGCTTCATTATCAATATTGAGACTTCAAGTGTCATTAGCTGCAATTTTTTGGGCCATTGATTTGTTAGTTGTGAATAAGGATGGTTGGTACCTTTCCCTTTCTTCCCCACACGCACACATACACATAGTGATGGGTGATGACTATACCTTCATTAACATGCATGGGACTTCCAATCTTTGTGACATCATCAGGTGAAGCTTAAAAAGATTTGAAATTTTATTTTTACCCCCTTGAGGTAAGTAACAATTATTTAATACGATATAAATGTATCATTCATCGTTAGGGGCGTTAATACTTCTAATTTATGCTAGATTTTTGATTATTTTCATAGTAGGTTGCTAGTTCTATTTCACTTATATTGCTAATTATCTGTTATAGAATTTATTTATTGTGCATAATAAAATCACTAATTGTCTTATTTTATTTTTGCATGGCTCCTTGTATATATATGATTAAATTCTGTAATTATAATATTATATTTTCTTGCATGTTACTGTTTAGGATTGCAAGTAAATTTCTCACACGTTAAAATTATGCTTAAAATAATTAATATGTTGGTCATATCATTTAAATAATTTTTTGTTGAAAAATATGCAAATGTATGATTGTATGTGATGAGATGTAGG